AAGATATGCAATATGATTGAGCCATCGAGAGTAGGAGAATCCTGCCGGGAGAAATTGAAAAATAATACAAATGATTCAAACTGGCATTTTAATAAATCCTCCAAAATTCAGATATCATTAATTTCTCGAAATTAAGAAAATCACAAACCTATATTTACGCGTAAATGCTATTAACATCTCCCACGGTCAGGGTAGTACTTTTTCCTTTCTTTTTTCTCTTTTAATTTTTTGCGAGTTAAGAACATCGCCACAAACTTAATAACGACAAATTTTGAGAGACTTTCGCGAATTTTCTCAGAAGTGAGTACGTCAATTCGCTGAGTACAACTGTTTATCAGGTTACTTTGAGGCTGTGCCAATTGTTTTAAAAAAAATCACTCCACAGGCACCACCATTTGTTTTCCTGGGCTATGCAGCTTCCGATATAGTTTCATTAAAGCATTGGCATTCCTGTATAAATTACAACAGTTGCTCAATAAAGTCTTTTTTCCTGTCTCTTGATTTAAATGGTACTTCATAAAAAGACGATTTCTTAGAGCATTGCTACATTAAAAAGACTAAGCTTATTCTCCTTTGCGCACTCGCACAGAGTAAAGGCATCGTAAGACAGAGGGTGCTGTGGCTTTAGTTCATTAAGGATGTGTTCCATCAGCCGTTGTCGTTCAGCTTCTTCCTCTAGGGACAGTTCCTTCGGATTTTGCTCGATTTCTGAGGGTGTTCGCTGCCTTTTTCTGTTTGCTGAAGGCGAGAGAAAAACCCCTGCGCTTGGCTCTTGGTATGCAACTCGTCTCCGTCAAACAACCTATTGTTCTGCTCGTCTCTTGCCTTTCGCATATCATTTGAAACTTGCTAAGGGTCAGCTTTTAGCCCTGATTGTTCGCCTAGATCAAACTTTGCTGTTAGATAATTCTTAACTTTGTCACCGAATCTAGTGGAACCTGCTCGTGGCTTGGGTAGGGCCCAGCCCATACTGATAGTGTTTCCTGGAGGTATTGAGTCACGTACAACCTGGTGGGTACTATTTTCGCACTGTGGTTCGTCAGTGATGCTGACTGACGTAGTAAACCTCTCTGCCCAATCTATACGGAGTTTATCATATACTGTTTCTGACAGCCTTTCATTCTTCACACAATGGTCCCCTACGTTCAAATGTAACTCGAGCTCTGAAAACGTTTGGAAACTCTTCACGCATCCAGGCTTCGAACATTCAAAAATGTCCATCTTTGAATCGTCAAAATCATCGTCCTCATTTGAACCCTCTGTTCCAGGAACTGTGTATTCATACACACGTGCATTGTGAAAAGGGAAGAACTCCTTACTTACAACGAGAGTGGTGTCACCTTGGTCATTTGAAACTAGCTGGTCGTGAGAAATCTCCTTGCCACGCCCTATTCCGTACGACCTCCACGCACGTATACTGTTTTCCCCAAACTGGATGTTGTGTAGCTTGCTAAAACCATCTATCTTGTTCCCTTCTAAGGTTCTCTTAGACTCGTCAAATTCGCATACGCACGCGGATGTACCTTTCACTGGTTTCTCAGAGAGCGCCTTTCTCATGTCTCCCGCTGTTAGAATGTCGTGTCCTTCGTTGCAGAAACGTCGGATGCATGTTTTCATTGGGCACANTCCAGAATCTTCCGAGTGAGTGTCGGTGCCTCGGGCAGATTGTCATACCCGCGAGTTGACTTCTCGACAAATGTTGTATTCCCGTTCTTGCCATGATTAGCTCGGCTTCCGTAATAGCGCTGCATTTGGATAAGTGGCAGCTAACTAAATGGGCGGATATATCTGCGTTGCAGTCGGAGAGCAAAACGTGCTTCGTTTCTTCCCTACTAGACCTACACAGAGTCTGTACTATTTCGTAAAGAGAACAATTTAGGGGTTTAGCAGACATCTTTCCGATAAACAAACACTACCGCATGAATGCTTGCGCAGTTAAGTCAGTAAATGTTGTGTGAAAACTGGTGTAGATCCCAACGAATTTTAATTGAATTACAGCGAAGTAAACAAAGTTTCGAAGAAGGGAAAAATAATCCAGCATAGGATAAAAGAGCCTGTTAGGAAAACGAGCTCTGTTGCGTCTTGCCGAAAAAAAAAACATCTCTTGCTACTGAAGAGAGGTTAAGGATATATTACTGGTAAGATCTTCGATGTCCACTTCTCTGTGGTTGATGATAAGCGTGCAAAACAAACAGAGCTGTTTTACTTAATCAGCGCTTCGTGGGAGATGAAAATGGCCATAAACTCCAAAAATACCTTGCCTTTGAAGTATGAGGCGCCAAAGGGCACAAAAATGCTGTTTAGAAATTTTTCTTTCCAATTATATAGATATGTTCTAAACTGAAGATTTTTGTCCTCAGTTTACATATTAGATGCTAACTTTGTGAAATATTTATGCTCTTTTTCGCATTTATTTTCTAAACTCTTCAGTTGAATTCTAATTGCAAAGAAAATGCGTTACAAGTACAGAAAAAATTGTTCTAATTGAAATGTGTTTTAGATGTTCTAATGTTCTTATTACATTCTATTAAAAAAAAAATTCATGCCAAGTTAGAAAAAAACTCTGCTCCCACGAATGAAAAATTATCCTATTCTCAGTCTGAAAATACATGGCAATTGCAAAAAATACATGGCAGTTGCAAAAAATACATGGCAATTGCAATAAAAATACACGACAATTGCAAAAAAAAGCGTTCTAATTAGTATGCAAATTATATTCAGTTGAATTTTTCGTGCTAATTAAAACACGCTTCTAATTAAAACGCAAATTGTGCTACACAGACCGGTGTTAGGTAAGGGTTTCGCCGACCCCGTTTTGGCGCTAATTTTATAGCTTTCAATTTGAAGACTATCTAGAAAAGCTACGATATGCCTTAATACCGTCGAGGAAGAGGCGACATAGAGATAGCTAGAGAGATTCTTAGCAAAATACTCAAGCAGTTCTCGGTCAAATTGCTAGCTTCAGTCAACAATGGGAGACCCAGAATAACAAACCCGAACGACTCAGAAAACGCTGTTGATCGAATGACTGAGATCTGTTCAACGTTTGGCGTTCTTCATCAGAGTGTATCCACCAACAGCGCTGCAAATAATTCAGTCTATTTTCCTCATTATTTCGGGGACCCTCCAGCGCTGCACATGCAGACCGCTGCTCCTCAATGCACCTACCATGCGACTCTGGCCAATATTGGGAGCCGAGTAAGCGATTTCACTGATTGAACGACAGCTGTGAGGCTGCTCTCTGAAATCTCAGTAAAACCGTCCGTTTCGAGTCTGTTACGAAATATAATGTTGCGTGACGTGCATGACCTGGAAGGTTCGCGAAAGGTCATGGCTTGTTTATTTTAGTAAATTATGTAATCGTTTCTAAAATTGAGATATTTTGTAATGTTGCTATAATTAGACCTTTTTTAGAAAGTTCTAGAACTTTATCGCATAAGTATATAACTAGGACAGGTTACGCGAAGCTTGAACTTAGTTTTCACTCGTTAC